AAGACAATAAAACCTAATGTTCATTATTTTGTGTATAGATAAAATCATTTCTACTCTAGTATCATATGTCTCAGCAGTGCACATCTACAGTCCCTTTAGGGAGAAACCGCCAGGCCTTCATTTTTCATAATGAGTATGTAGTATTTAAGGTCACTAAACTGGAATCATATGACCTATAACTGCGACCAGTTCTTAATAATACGGGACAATAATCATTTATGGGTCACGATGATGGGTAAATTCCTCACTCTTGGTATTGATATTGAACTTTACTAATTTTTATGATCGCTTACTACAAATTCGGGGATCCATGTCGGAGCCAGTTGGTTAGCGTGAGCACACAATGACTTGCTAATTGGTGTCAATGCGTGATAAAAATAATCTTCCCATTAGGTTTAAACAACGTAAACCTCTCAATCAAGCATAATTAATTTTTTGGGCGGTCGGAGGTAGTCAGCAGGGAATTCAAGATCCAGGTCTCATACTAGTCGGACACGGTTAACAAGAATTATCTAAAATCTTAAGGGAACTGGTACTCCCTGTTGTATTCGGACTCGCGTAACCCAGGTTCATAAACTTAGACATCACCACTGAGAGTTATTTGGGCCTCAACCAACTTTCTGTGGGACTGAAATCTTTAAAATTTATTCACCACTGATATAGTGTTTGTCTAGTCGTTTAGTACTGGTCGAATTCTATCAATCAAGTTGCAATGTGGCAGTTAGTCTAAGTGACTTAGCATCACCTGCAGTATGTTGATATGTTAGGTAGTTGAAACTAGCCGATAGGATACTCTGAACCTAGGTTTGGTTCTAGTTGGCATTCCTCAACAAAGCATACCTGCAAAAATTAATTTCTGTTCACTTTCTTGCTAAAATAGAATAGAACAAGATCTTATATTCATTTGGTTTCTAAAACGTAAACACATTATTGCTTTAAGAAACTAATCAATTCTAAATTAATTTCAGAGACTTCAGCGGTTTTATATTTGTGTATTGAGATTCTTAATACCTTGACCTTAAAAATCATTGGTTAATTTTATTTTGATTATATAACTTGTTTTTTGGTATAATTGTCTTTAAATTCTTTCTATGATTGAATGGATCAGTTTATGTGGTCATCTATAATAACAGTATGCTAGGCTTCATAAATCTTGTTTTGTAAATGATAGATATTTTTAAATTATGAAGTGATTGTTAAGAGTTACTTAGCAGCAGTTATTCGGGAAAATCTTTAGAACTCAAGAAAAATACTGAAAAGAACTTTGAACAAGTAATATCTTTTTGAAAACTTACAGAATAAAGGTAGATACTGACACATTAAACCTAGCTATTTCTAATTAGTTAATTATCAGACATTATAAATTTTATTACATTTTCCTGAAGATTTTGAACCTAAAACTATCCTAAACATACTATAATCTTTGAAGTACAGCTCCTTCTACACGTATCAGTAATCCACGTTTGTAGTAAATTTACTAGTCCTCAAGGTGGAATTGCGGTTTATTGGTTAAATCATTAAGTTCTTAATTATTGAGTATTAGGTTCGAGACTGTCATCACGTTCTTTTCCACCATTGGCTTAACCAGTCCTATGAATCCAGTGTTCATCTTGCTGTGCTAATGCGGTATGGCAATTTGGACCGATGCATATATGTGCCTGGTCCTACGTTGTAGCTGACTGACCGACTGCATGTTCTTTTCAGGATTGTGTTGGAGCGCTCTGATTGGACATTTCTTACCCAATTAGCGCTAGTGGATAATCGGTGGAGACTAGAATATTCTCGTGCAAAATTATAAATATACTAACGTTTTTCTTGCTGTGAATCCTACTCTTATATAACCTTGTTTATTTGGAATATAATTTTGTTCCTTATCAACCGTGTTCTAATTTGGGGACTAGTTAAGTGAAGTAAAGTGTCAGAAGAATACTAACCAATAAGAGTAGCTTGGTCGTATAAAGAGAAATATTAACAAATTCCTTCTATTAAATTCGATTTAAACACCTAAGAAGTACCATTCATACTCCATACAAAAAGTATAATATAAAGCTGACTACATATATGTGTACTTAGTAAATGTGTTACATAGAAAGGTTTTAAAGAAAACCTACTGCACTTCATTTTAGGCAGCTACACAGTTCCGTCACCATGTCTCACATAAAAAATACATAACTGAAAGCCGAATACATAAACTTTTATTTTTTAAATGAATTAGGTTAAATAATTAATCAAATATTTAAATTGAATAACTGATTAATCTTATCAAGGTTTCATATCAAATTTTCTTTTTATCACTTATGGTTTACATCATGAACTGACTTTAGTTTGAAAACTACTAAGAACCAGGATCCATTGGGCAGCTACTATTCCTTAACAATACTCATCCGCTACCCCACCTGGGGTCAAACCTAAAATTTTAGGTGAACCTATAGAAGACCACTGAGTTGTCTGACCAAGGTCAATTCGTGGTATTAGCTTTGAAGTACAATAGTCTCTACAAACCTATTACATTAATTTTAACATTTAGTTATGGCATTAATAATAAGATATTTGTTCAAGGCTATTGAAGTGTACAGTTTTTATTTTTGAGATTTTTCAAAATGAAATAATTTAACATCAAATTAGTACTTACGCCTGTTACTCCCAATGGAGCATAGGCTGCCGACCAGCATTCTCCAACCCACTCTGTCCTGGGCCTTCCTTTCTAGTTCTATCCAATTGTTGTTCTTTTTTCTCATGTCTGTCTCCATTTCTCGGTGTAATGTGTTCTTTGGTCTTCCTCTCCTCCTTTAGCCTTGAGGATTCCATATGAGGGCTTGTCTTGTGATGCAGTTGAATGCTTTCCTCGATGTGTGTCCTACCCACTTCCAGTGCTTCTTTCTGACTTCTTTCTCCGCTGGAGTCTGGTTTGTTCTCTCCCACAGTAGGTTGTTAATCGTATCTGGCCAACGGATCTGAATTATTTTGTGTAGACAACTGTTAATAAACACCTGTATCTTCTGGATGATGGCTTTCGTAGTTCTCCAAGTTTCCGCCCCATACAGTAGAACTGTCTTTACATTTGTATTGAAAATCCTGACCTTGGTGTTGGTTGACAGTTGTTTTGAGTTCCAGATGTTCTTCAATTGTGAATATGCTTCTCTTGCTTTGCCGATCCGCGCCTTCACATCCACATCAGATCCATCGTGACATCAAATTAGTAAAGTCACCGTATATTAGATTCTATTTATGTACATGTTAGTAGTTAACTATCACTTCGTCTATATTTGTATTGATTATGAGATTGATGAAACATTGATTATACATGACTACTTTTATAAACCACTTCAATTCTCAATATTTGACAAGGGTAGACGAGTCGTAACGGAAGGAGTGGTAGTTTAATTGAAGTAATAACTTATTATTATATGAAAATAGTTATGAACAATGAGTAGTTCAAGTAAGATTTTCTAAAGTTATATTTCTTTCCTTGTTATTACCATCAATATTCTAGCTGAATATTTGGATGTACACAAGATAAATTTTAATAACTTTGTCAATATCTTACTTAATATAATATGATATTTGTTTTTTTTCAATATTGTAAAAATAGGCTAAATTACGTTCTCGTATTCGTATTGCCGATGGACGTGCTAAACCAATTGATTTGTTAGCAAAATATATAGCTGATCAAGAGGAAGATCCAATGGAATTTGATATATCAGGTGTAGTAGAAATTTTGGAACCGACACAATTTCTTGTTGGCTTAGGTATAGAAGATTTAGAAGATTTACTTGAAGATATTAAGGTCTGGTTGTATATTATTATTATTATATTTTCTCCTTTATTACCATGTTATTCATTATGATATCTTTTAAACTCTTTATTTCAACAAATGACTTGTTTTATTTACGATGAAAGATGCCTATCCATCAACCAAAGAACGAGTACCCTGTACAGCTGTTTCCATTGTATTACTATGTAGCTATAAAACATGGTCTATAAAAATAGAAGACATGTGTAGGCTGAAAGTTTTTAAACATAAGTATCTTCGAGTCAATGGTTGCCCATCATGAAACAACTAAGTGAGCAATACTGATGTTAGGGATTCGTACTAGGTAGAAACAGTAAATCGGTTGATTAGATTGTGGATCTTCATCGATTGTGGTGGTTGAAACATGTATTACATTCGCTTAACCATTCCCTACTTTGTCGCGCGATGTTGGTTGGTGCGAGAGTAAGCTGGAAAAAGAACAGGAGCGCCCAAATCAAGACGTAACATCAGTCTATAAGTCGTTGAATGTTGGTATGAAGTACGTTGGTAAGTGCAGAATGCCTGTTTTGAGATAGCGCGATTATCATGATCAATAATTGGAGATGTTGGATGACATAGTTCAGAATCGACTACCATGGCGCGAGTGCCCTTACTTTTTATCTTCTAGTTTCTGAATCCCGGTTACCCTTCATACATATTTTTTTGTTCTGTCTTTTAAACCATAGTCTCGTTGTTTAGTGTTCCTTATTTTCATTATTACTGCAATTATTTCGACCCCTTTGCTATTCATCTTATTAATGTCATCTCACCATGATAATGCGGTATGGTAACTTATTTTTTTGTACAAACCTATATGATAATTATGACTGACCGCTTGAGCACTGAAATGAGAGATTTGTGGAGATTATTTGATTTGCAGATAGTGTGTTACCTTTAGACCACTGGGGCTCGATACGCAATTGTCTACATTTCTAACTCCAGCCACTGCGATATTCCTCGACCATCATCCATTATCCTCAGTTATAGTTACTATCTCACTCTTGATATAGTTGGACCCACTAGTAAAAGTTCCTCGCTGTTACTCCTAGTCTTATTTAAGAATTGCAGACACTCGTGGGCAGTTATGTTAGGATTGAGATCAGTTATCTTAAGTGTCAATATCCTATGTACTACTAACTAAACAACTTTGCTGTTTCAACACTCATCTATCCACTTTTTCTACTGACTTTTCTTGGAATACTTTTTTGAACTATAGGTAGTGTATATGGAATTAGAAAAAGGTTGTAATGCAGAATATTGGCGTGATATTACAACTGTTGTTGAAGATGAATTAAATAAATTGCGTCGATTAGAAGAAAATAGTGGAGTCGCTGGTGCATGCGGTGCCGATACCAGAGGTCGTAGTTCGGCTACTATTAGTCAGTCTGTTATGCAAAGTGTTGCTGAAACATTAAAGGGTAAAACATACAATCAATTAAGTGCATTAGAAAAACAAGTAAGTTTTTCATTAACTTAAAGGTTATATAGATGAAGTCTGATTATTTATTTTGTTCATGTTAAAATGATAATTGAAGCGATATTTTCGATAATGTTGAATTCTCTGAGTTGAATAATTTCTAATTGTTAACTTTTCTCTGTCATTTTCTGGACAGAATCATTAGTGCTTACTTCAGATAAAAGCTCTGACATTGATGTCCAGAACAACAACGAAAACTTTCGCAATTGAAACTAAAGTATCCACCTTCGAGCATTTAAGATTATTGAAAATTAGTTCATGTGGTAAAGCACGACTGTTGATAACCTAGTAAAACTTCACTCTCCTTTCGTCGATTCAGATAAAAGAGTAGTATTAATAGCCGTTATAATTAGAGAGAGTGGCTCTAAGTACCTAATGAATTAGTTTATTTAAATTTGTTTTTAAATTAGTAAAAAATGTAAGCATATGCCTTATATTGGCTTGTATTACAGTTAACAACACTACCTTCCGTATTGGTCTAATTGATACTGTCGGGCGTTGGGAGACCCTCTCGTTGTCTTTTTTTTTTTACTTCGTATATATGTTGATTACCAATTGCCTCTAATTGATCTATTAATTTTGGCTTTAAAGTCATGTTGAATTGAGAAGCACATTCTGATTGTTGATATAAAACGTGATTTACTACAATCTTACCTTGTCAATTTTGCTAATTAACAGAATCATCGTTGTAATTCAAAATTACTGACATTTATTCACTTTCGAACACAAATACAATGTTAACGCTATCAACTACCACTGGAGTACTAATGGGTTTAAAAAGTTACTATTTTATAGAATTGTATTTGCATCAACTACACTTTTGATGACGTTTGTGTTTGACAAAAGTAAATAACTCAAAATCATCTTTATTGATTTAAAGATATTTGTCTAAATGACTTATTGAAGAAGGAACTAACTCTACCTATGTTATAGCATAGTGATATGCCCACTAGTGTTCAGTTAATCTATGTATCAATAACTCAGTAGTCAAATCACTCTAATTTCAAATAACAGATTTCACATTCAAACCCAACGACATCCCCACCGATTTCGGTAGCTATCTAGTATAATTTGCAATGGGAGTTGAATACATAAACCACTTGTACTTGGGAAATGACTTGATACTAGAATTTTCTGTTAAAACGGTAGTGTCATTAAAAGTATAACAATCATTTGAGTTTATTACATCACTTAATTTATTTTCAGTTACATTCCATTAATTTTCTTATATTCAGACCAAAGATTTGACTATTTAAGCAGCTACATATTGTTTGTCTGTATACATAAAATCAAGTGTTTCAGTTTGTGGATAGTTTTGCAACACCTAAGTTAATTACTGATTAGAGCTTATAATTATTATTAATCTGTCTACTATCGAGTCTTTAATAATATTGAATTGTTGGTTAGTAATTACATGTACCCAGTGTCATGATTTCAAGCAGTCTCAGTTACACCCTGAATATAACCAATAAGTGTCTATTGTTTCAACAGTTATTGATTACTGCGTTTATAATTGCTTCTGTTATAAATTAAAATTAAAGACTAATATTGCAACATCATAAATGATGTCATGTTTCCAATAATCCACGTAACTGGATGTTATGTTTTCGTGTTCAATATATTATGAAACGTAATGAGTTTATATAACTGGATTTAGGATAGTGTACATTCATCTAGTAAGTCATTTGCTACGATTAGTTTAAATAGGATGTTGATCGATTAACTATTCGAATGTTAATGAATGATGTAATAAATTATGAGAGGATCAAAGTAACTCACTTGAATAAACTGTTGTCTAGTTTGTAGAAACTATACAACCTACACTTTTGACACTGATCTTTGTAGTCCAAGACCATTTATACTAGTCAACGGTAGTTTAAAATTAAGGCATAATAGTGTTGATATCCTTGTTTTTTTCTTGCTAAAACTGTATTCTCGAATTGTAATAAATTAATTATCTGACCTATGTAGCCACTTTATCTTTTAGTGTTTTTACATGTACTTCTAATTCTCATTATAAAACGATAGAGTTCTCTTCATTTTGTACATTATGTCCACAGGCATTCATATAACGCAGACAAGATAAGATAAATTTGATTTGCAAAGGTGAACAAGATAGTTTTCAGCACAGATCGACACTAGATAAGTAACTTCTAAAAATGAACAAACGATTGTTTCTTGAAAAAAAGTTATCTAAGAATACAAAGCAATAGTTTCCCTCTGTCGATTACTTATTTATATAAGTTGCTTAGGACAAAGAAGTATTGGAAGTTGTTTGGTTCTCAGTATTTAAAGTAAAGGGTAGAGTGTTAGAGATAAGTCTTTATACAAATTGTCTATCCATACATTCTAAAGTGTTGACTGGTTAGAGCTTTTTTTATTAATTCCCTGACGTTAAATGGTTCGAGGTAGTTGATCGGCAAAAACCCTTTACTCAAATTTTATGCTGGTTGGAACTCGTCAGTTCTGGAAGATTTGGAATTTTTCACGTACCTGGACAGCATCATTGATGAACTAGGAGGATCGGATTCAGACGTAAAGGCGAGGATTAGCAAAGCAAGGGCAGCATTCTTACAACTGAAGAACATATGGAAATCAAAACAACTGTCAACCAATATCAAATTAAGAATCTTCAATACAAACGTCGAGGCAGTTCTACTGTACAGAGCTGGAACGTGGAGAACTACTACAACCGTCATCAAGAAGGTACAAGTATTTATAAACAGTTGTCTGTTCAAGATACTGAATGTCCGTCGACCGGAAACCATTCGCAACAATCTACTGTAGAAGAAAACAAACCAGGTCCCAGCTGTGGAGGAAATTAGGAAAAGACGATGGAAGTGGGTAGGACATACGTTATGGAAATAACCAAACTGCATCACGTGGCAAGCGCTTACGTGAAGTAAAACGGAAAAGAGGAAGTTCGGAGAACACACTACGTCGGAAATTGGAAGCAGACATGAAAATGATGAATAACAAGTGCGAAGGATTGCCCAGGACGGTGTTGGATGGAGAATGCTGCTGAGCGGCCTATTCTCCTTCACGAGGAGTAACAGGCGTAAGTAATGAAACTGGTCAGTAGGATATACCTGCTATATTAAGACTTACGTCATGCAGATTTACAGTCTCTGAAATGGCAATTTCGTATTCGTTAACAACTTAGATTTTAGTGAATTTATTTTATTCCATTACTTTCATTATACAAACATATAATTGTTGTCACTAAGTTTACCACAACATAAGTTGAAACTTCCTCGTTTTTCACATATTCTTTTGTTTGCTCTTATAGATTGCTCCAAAGCTACGTGGTGGTGAAGGTGTAGATGTAACTTATTGGGAGACATTAGCTCAATTTGTTCGTGCTCAAATGGCCCGTACTCGTCTACGTGATATGCATCAAGACAATCTTAAACGTAAATTAGAATGTTTGCGTCAAGCTCAAGGTATTGTCTCAGAACCATTGTTTCCTAGTGCTGTTGTTGCTAAACAGCCAAATGATCATGTCGAATTGGACATTGAACAACCTGCTCAGTCTATTGAAGATGAAAATGATCCTGAAAATTTCATCCCACCTCCTTTACCTCCGATTGAATTGAACAGAGACGTAAGAGGACTCGGTTTGTAATAATTTAATGTTCATTTACTCATTTAAATTTCATAGAAGCAAAGAATAGAGATATTGAAAGTGTTACCTCTGGGGAGAGAACTGCTTAGCTGACTTAATTTTGACACTGAAACTCTGAATCCGACGATGGATAGTGAGAACACAAAGATTGGTTGATATGTATTTACTTGACCCTTGGAAGTAGATCAGTAAGTAGAAAGGGATGTCAGACAACACAATCGTAATTGATTAATGGACAGAACGGTGTTGCATAACTTTTGGGTCTTGAATTTCGCCAAACATCCACTTATTGTTATAAGTTCTTTTGTTTTCGATTTGTCTTAATTAACTAATTTTATTTGTCAATTGTGTGTACTTACACGGCTTTGTAAAATATTCACAATCTACCACGTATCTAATTGCTGAGAAACTCAAGAACCGCCAGTATGATGACTCATATATTTCCCTTCTCTTCTGTCTTTTTGTGAAACAAGAGACGATTAATATCGAATTTATACATTAAAAATATATTTGGCGACCTGGTCGTGGCTGCATCGACCACATATTCACCATTCGTCAGGTTCTAGAACACAGGCATACCTATCGGCGTCCGACGATGGTGGTCTTTCTTGACTTAAAAGCAGCGTTTGACTCTGTAGACCGCGAGACTCTGTGGCAGTGTCTGTCATTGAAAGGCGTACCTCAGAAGTACATAAACCTTGTGAAGGCTCTTTACTCGAACACTACTAGTCGAGTCAGAGCTTATGGCGAACTGTCATCTACTTTTGCAACTTCAAGTGGTGTCCGTCAAGGCTGTCCACTTTCTCCATTTTTGTTTAACTTCATCATAGACCTATTGATGGAAATAACACTCTCGTCGACTGAATTCTCGGGTATTGATCTCCTTCCAGGAGGTCCACTTATCGACTTAGAATACGCAGATGATATAGTCCTGTTTGGTGAAGAGGCTGACAAAATGCAGAGTCTTCTGGTAGCACTGAGCAACAATGCCAGAATGTTTGGGATGCGCTTCTCTCCCTCTAAATGCAAGTTGTTGCTTCAGGACTGGTGTGCGTCAACACCTGAACTAAGGATAGGGAGTGAAGTAGTCGAACGCGTCGACAACTTCACTTATCTTGGAAGTCTGATCAGCCCTAATGGGTTGGTGTCTGACGAAATCTCAGCACGGATTCGAAAAGCTCGTTTGGCTTTTGTCAACTTACGTCACCTTTGGCGGAGGCGAGATATCCGTCTATCAATAAAAGGACGAGTATACTGCGCGGCAGTCCGTTCTGTCTTACTTTACGGCAGCGAAACATGGCCTTTAAGAGTAGAAGACACCCGTAAGCTACAAGTATTTGACCACAGATGCCTCAGAAATATTGCTGGCATCTGCTGGGATCACCGGGTAAGTAATAGTGAGGTTAGACGCAGGGTATTAGGGAATGATGGTAAATCAGTTGATGAGGTTATGAATCTTCATCGACTGAGATGGTTGGGCCACGTATTACGTATGCCTGAACACCGATTACCACGACGTGCAATGCTAACCGGTGTAGGGGTTGGTTGGAAGAAAGTTAGGGGCGGCCAAACCAAAACGTGGCATCAGTGCTTGAAGTCACTAACTTCTAGTCTGAGCCATGTTGGTAGATGCAGACTACTTGGTTGGGGTCCGCGTGACTATCGTAACCAATGGTTGGAGACTCTTGGTGACATGGCTCAGAATCGATCACAATGGCGTCGGTGTATACACTCCCTGTCTTCCCTTAAACTAAGAGATTAAATCACTTCATATCTTTCTTTCCACGAACTAATTCTTCCTTCCTATACTATATCCTTATTGCAACCTTTGACCTAACCACTCCTATGAATCCGGTGTTCATCTTGTTGTGCTAATGAGGTATGGCAACCTGGACCGATGCACATATGTGCCTGGTCCTACGTTGTAGCTGACTGACTGACTGACTGACTGAGAAACGTCCATATGGGCAATAAGTTTGATCTTTAACATTTATAGATGAGTGTGATCGGGAGCGACTATTATTATTACTTCAAGTCGAAATGAAACCTATGACCAAATTTGGTTGTAATTTAACTAGAAAGAACTATTGATGTTACCCTACAATAATCATTTTTCTAAAAGTCCATCTATCAACCAATGGCTTATTGATGAATTGATCAAATTCATGTGTAATTTTGCCTGTTATTATGAACTACAGTTAAAATAAAGGTTGACCGCTCGTCATGAGACTTGAAGGTCCTGGGTTCAATTTGTGGTGGGGTTGTGAGAATAAACACTGTTGAGGAGTCCCATACATGGATGAAACAACTTTCGAATGCTTCCTAGTTCCTATTGATTGTCTAACTTAGGTTGGTTCGTGATCTCAATAATATCCAATAATCTTCACAAACCCCCTTATACTGAATCATTTGTTTTTTGTAATGGGAAAAGTACACACCTATACTATGTCGCGCATTAAAACAAAGTTTCTCCCTCTCTCATATTCTCACTTTAGGGTAATCCAGTTAGTAATAATGCTATTGAAGACTTACACAGCGCTGAAGCTATCAAAGCTGTTCGTGCAGCTGAACTACAAGCGGCTGCATTGATTGAAGAAGAATCATATAATCCGTCGATTTATTCACCACCACGTATTAATCCGGATGATTTAGAATTGGATGCCGTTATTTATAATCCAGAAGATGACCAAGCGAAAATTGAATATCAGGTTAGTCAAATACTGTTAAAGACCATTTATTTAATTTAAGCTCATCTCTTTTTTGAAAAAAATTAAACATTTTAGCAACGTGTAAATTTCAAACATGGTTTATTTTATACATTAATAAAGGTGGTTATATTTGAGTTCGGTTAATGGTAATACATTAATGTTTAAAGTGAGAGATAGTGGGCTCGAGTCTCATTATTTAGGATTCGAGTATATCCAACTGACGAGTCCTAAACAGGACGAAGCATTGGTCTGGACCAATTAGGCTTAATAAAATGAACCAGCTAAAAACACAGTCAAGTACCAGCGCCATTCTAATATCTCACATATCATATCACTAGTATACTTCCCACACCCAGCTGAATAAGTTATACGATTTTCCTACGGTCTCCTCATTAACATACGGTTGTGTCCAAAATAGTTTTTTTTGTTCTCCATTAGCGGTGATTAACTAGATTTTGGTATACCAATGTGTTAGGAATTTAGTATCGGTGTTATCGGAGTATGTTTTACTTCTAACTGAGGTGCTAAGTGTTTAAAGGTAGTCACCAGGAGACCCGGGATCTATGTTTCGTGCTACTTGACATTCATCAGCAAGTAATTTCGATGAAACCAATGCTCCATGTGGGATTCGAACCCTTGTCGCTCGCCCTCAAAATCCGACACGTTACTACTGAGCTATAAGAATGAGATATCTGCACTAATTGATCACTGAGTAGTAAAGTGACCAATTTCATGTTTGTTTTGTCATGCTCTTTGAAATCTATCTACCAAGTTACACTGTGCCCTCAAGATTGCAGGAATACCTTTTTGATGAGTACCAACTGATACATAACCTATTTTCAGGGTCTTCTGCTGACTACTTCCAACAAAGTGCATATGATATCAGGTTACTTTGAATAGGTGGTCACAATGCAAGTTGGCTGATAAAATTCAATAAGCATTAAACGACTAGAGAAGTACGATACTGATCATTATTCAATGATCAATCAATTGCTATTTTATTCTTCTAAATATGCCTTATTTCTCAAATTAATGGCTGTTACAGCTATAAATGTTTTCACATAAGTAATAAGTTCTACATAAAAAGTATACTTATGTACGCACTGTTTTTCATTATCAGTGATAAGTGATAACCTCATACTTTGCACTCTAATTTAAAGTGTTGTAGTAATCTACTAAACTGTTTACAATATTTGTGTTTATTAATATTAGTTGTCCATATTATTTTACTTACAATCTTGCCTTTTTATTGAGATCATGAACTGATCAATCTTAGACCACCATTGAAAACCTGGAAGCACAAGACGGCTGTTCCGTGGATGTGCATTACTGAGGAGTCCCATACTAGGGCAAAAAGATCATTCAGGGCTTCCAGATTTTCAATGATGGTCTAACACTGATCAATTCATGATCTCAATAAAAACTCAACAATCTCCACAATCCTTATATTGATAATCTTGCATTTTTACAAAAATATTACAACTTATCTATTAGGTACAAGCTTTTATGTAATTGGCTTTAAACTACAGTTTTATATGGCAACTACCCAAAGTTTGAGAGGTAGGGTTCGAACCTGAGATGTGATAGTTAGTAATCAGGTGGTCTAAACTAAACTATTTATTTCACAACCATTTAACGAAATACATCCATAATATATAATCATGTTTTACGTTTAATTTCTCAATAACTACAATTCTTTGTTTTTTATTTTTTTAAATAATAGCGTCAAGAAGTCTTACGTACAGGAACGATGCAAGCTACTGAAGAAGAAGAGCTTATAAGGCGAGCTAGAGAAGGCATGGAAGATGGTGAAGATGCACAATTCTCAGTTATGGTAAGCATGACTATATCGTTGTATTGAATAAATAGAATATGGTCAGCAGTGGGATCCAGGACACGCATCTCATCCTGCTTGGGACTCGTCAGTTGGATGTAGCTGCATTCTGAATTCCACTGCTCGCTATATTTCATCTGTTCTTTACGTAAACTTGTGTCATAATGGTTATTTCGAGGGAATCCGCACTGGATGCACACATGACAATTAAAACTGATCAAGGTTCAATCAAAATATCAAAAAATTAAATAATTCTAATCAACACAGATTAAATTATATTGTTGTTTCGTGAAGATATTTTAAAAGGGCAATTAATGCTTAACAATAATTTCGTGAATTATTTAAAATCAGAACTTAGTTTATGAAATGTGAACAGGTGTACGTGTAAGTGTATTAGATAATCCGTAGTTAATTATTGGTTAAAAGATTATTTCATTCACTGACCAACATTGCTCAAAGGATAATAAAAATAGTAGAAGGCATTAGGCAGATAGATACTTTATCATTTACAAGATGGACACACTGTTACGGAGTCGATAGACGTGTTTTCAATCAGTTTATTTTAAATATGCTTGGAGTATTGAAGTGATAGGGAAGACGGGTAGCTTAGGGCAATGTTTTCGGTTATGTTGTGTTCTTTTAGCTGAGGTGCTCTAATTGTGAAGCTTTCCTTTTCGTTCTGATCAACGTCATCAGCAATTATTTCATTCAACCCAAGGAACGTAACATATTCCAAAGTCGAACTATTATTGGATAACATCAGTGAGTGTCCACTATCAAATCCAACTTGATTTTATGGATTTTTTTTAATGAGAAGACATCTGTTACAGAATATCCTTGATTTAAATAGTTTAGAAAGCGCTGCAGTTAACTTAAAAGTAGTTTCAATTGGGAACTTAGGAGAATCGAGTAAACTAACCAGTTGTTTAGTCTTAATCAAGACTTAAAATGAAATCCGAAGTATGATCACCATTTTAATTTTATTATAAAGAGAATATTTGTAAAATCGACAGCAAATTTGTAAACGTTTGAAGCCTATAAATTAAATATAATTGTGACTTAAATGATCATTTAAAAGTAAGACACTATATTATTTAGACGTATGTATGAATATTTTTGTCGTATGTGCTAGGATTAGTTAATCTTCATGGAAGATGAACAGCTGTTACGTAGGAGTTGGGGCTGATGTCGTTTTGTAACCAAGTACAGTTTCATTTACTAAGTTTTAAGTAGCTACATTTATATGAGGGATACTTCTCTTCTTCAGTTGAAGTAGGATTGATTCTGTAAGTCGTTTAGTCGATATCTCATTACTTCAGCATTTGAACGACTAAATATCGCCACTATTACAGAGAGTGTTATTAGTATAAATCACTATGATATGTTAGTCATAGTTGTTTAAGGCAAGAAAAGGTGTATGTAGTTGTTTTATTTACTGATATCACCTAAAATCATTTGCCACAGTTTCTAAGACAATTAAATTTAACCAGGTAGAGACTTTCCCACAAAATAATCACCTAATCAATGTGTGATATACATTCAAGTTGATTGTAATTAACTAGGTACTCGTATTCGGTGAATATAATTTTAAGGAATGATCCACCTTTATCCTGATACATACACTAGAAATCGATTGTTATGAATGCCTTTTGTTTATGATCACACAAATTATTTTGTATCATATAATATACTCATTAATGACTAACTTGAAGAATTTCTGAAGTTCTAGTAAAAATCTGTGATCATTGAAGTTCATATGTGTCAGTTGTCTTCGATGGTAATGGTTGGGTTATGTTGCAAATTAACCATTTAGAAGTATAAAGCATTTGTCGAAAACTAATTAGTTGAAGGGTAACACCTTGGGCACAAGGTCCTGGATTCTGTGGCTGGCAGCGCCTCGAGTACTCATCACCTACCACAAAGAAATTTTGTACTAGGACAAAATAATTGTCCAATGTTTTTTGGGAGGATGTAGTGATTTTCTAACTGAAATCAGCTTATGATCTAAACCACAACATGTCTTTATTTCACCCATGATGCGTATTATAAATTTATCTATTGTTTCATTTTGTCGTCCAGATTCCAGTTGAAGATCAATCTTTCCTTTGGTCCGATAAATATAGACCAAGAAAACCACGTTTCTTTAATCGTGTTCATACTGGTTTTGTATGGAACAAATATAATCAAACACATTATGATTTAGATAATCCACCGCCTAAAATTGTTCAAGGCTATAAATTCAATGTTTTTTATCCGGATTTAATTGACAAAACTAAAACACCAACTTATACATTAACATCATGCGGTGAAGCAGAGAAAGATTTTGCTATTCTACGTTTTATCGCTGGACCACCATATGAAGATATTGCATTTAAAATTGTTAATCGTGAATGGGAATATTCGTATAAACATGGATTTCGATGTCAATTTCAAAATAATATCTTTCAATTATGGTTTCATTTTAAACGATTTCGTTATCGTCGATAATGGAGATGAAAATTACTTTATACTACTTATACATTATAAAAACTTGTATATTCTGTATTTTCACATTTGTTATTTAATAGAATGTATATTTTGAACTTTTTTTGATATTTTGAATTCATATATATTCCATCCAAACTTGATCAATATAGTATCCTTGATATTTCATATCAAGGATATGCTTTACTTCAATCATTGTCCCGCTAACAAAAGTAGAGCAGCATCTGATGACATGTTTCACAGAGGAAATTATCACACATCAAGCTCTTAAAGAGAATATATCTCCAGGTCAAACGAAGGGAATGAGTAACTTGAACGACAGGGCTAATAACATGGAAAAAACAAATAACGCTAGTTAAAAATGACAGAATTTACTGATATGCTATTAACTGGTTATAATCCATAAAGATTTTGAGCAAATGTTCTGAATATCAGCGGTGTATATAGTATATTTTTCTGAGTGTATATCACAGGAATTATGAAATGATAGGAATTTCAAATAAAATGCACTACGGAGAAAGCTAACTATACAGAAAATATCTACACGAAAACCACCAAGCTTTAAAACTTAGAAAGTAGAAATGAAATTATGTTGATGTTAATAATCCGGATAAAGCAAATCGGTTTTGAAATGATGGATATGGGCAAGTGAGTAGTGGAGGTTTAGTTGAATCCAAAAAACTGAATTTATCATTTTCTTTTTCAGTCTCTAAAGCTGAGGATTTGATAATTTCACGAAGTTCTATCCAGGAAACAATTATATTAGAATCAAAATATGCATTATTAAAACAATTAGATGATGATTGATTTATTATCCGAGCGAAGGAATCACTTAATGAATAACCAAGTTGAGATTGAACATGTTCACCGAAAACTGAATCAATGGTAGAAAGTAAATCAATTTCTGTAACTTGATCATATGTATTAGTATCACTGTCAAATTCATGATTATTTAGCATTTTAAAATGATTAGAATCAGAGAACAATGTTTCAACTTTGGATGCTTGTTCAACTTCATCTAATTGAGGCGCAAAACAACAATTCAAAGCACCAGGATCAATAGGATGAGCTTCTGTATTGAAAATGTAACCACCTGATTCTGGATAACATTGAAGTCCTGACGGTAAACGAGAACCTTCTAACGATGTTTTTTCACCTGGTAACTGATGTATAAAGTTGTTTTCATCAAATAATAGGTATAAATATTTTGTTGTTTCCGCTAGAAAAAACGACTCCATTCTGTCTTCCAAAGTATGTTTTGTAACATCTGAAACCTAGAAGAACGGATACTGTATAAATATTCTTGTTTACATAAGCAATTTAAGCATAATAGAAGAGTTGTGTATTAATGTGAGGGCTAGCATAATACACAAGGGCCAAAATAAAAGTAAATGGCTTTTTAAGGGGTTTCTCCATGAGCCATTTAACCTAGAAGTTTAATCTATAAAGCAGTCGAACGTTAGAACCCATCTCATGGTAGTTGATCACCAATTTCATAAATGAGTACATAATTGTTTACAAACGGCAAAGTGTGCAGTCAAATTTTTTTAGTTGAGATGTTTAAGTCAATAATCGAAAAATCTAAACCCTGAGACTGGAGGATCTGTGAAATAGAAGTGTTATCACAAGACAATCGTATAGACTTTCTTAAAAACTGGAAGATTATATGTCACTGAAGTGTTAGTTATCACATCAATATGAATTCTAGACTCAGTCAATTACAGGATGAATATCCTCAGTGAAGATATTTGAAATTCATTTTTTTCACTGTAAAAGGCAGTGATGATTCACTGAGTTAATGATATTAAATTATACTAGAAAACTAGAGCATCATCAACAAACTACTAATACTTATAAAAACAACAATAAGCTGATTGCTTTTTTACCGTAAATGAATATAACAATAAATAAACACGAAAATATTTACCGTCGCAAAACCACAAGGTGTACGCGCTGAGACTTCAATTGAAGTCAAAATGTCCACGCCCATATCAATCAGAGCAGGATCACGTGTCGCACGATATACGTAGAGAATAGATTCAATTAATTCTATTGAAAAGAATAAATCCATCTATTATTTTAACATTTTCACGAGAAAAATATTTCAAGAATGAAGGAAGAGCATAACTCAGAAAAGACTGACGAAAAACGAACACTTTAACCACTAAGTCTCAGGTTCAAACTGTGCTTCACTTTGAGCAACTGGGTAGTGTCACCAACTTTAACAGCTTATACCTAAGCTAATTTAAAACTATTTTATTTGGATAGCCTTTTATTAGTATGTAGGGTTTGTTTTTGACACATTTGTTTTAGATCCTACGAATTGTTACATCAGTAGTGAAAATAAAAAAAACGACTTCTAAACTGAACAATATTTTTTTACCTGGTCGTAATGGGTATGCCTCACGACCCTTGTAAGCCTTTTCGTCAGATAAACTATAGAACTCCGGAAGAAATCCATATTTTCTCCATATTTCATGATAAGCAATCAAATGTCTGCGAGCACACTCAATATCACCTGTAAGTGCCTATAATGATTGTACAATCAAAGTGAATTTCTCTTATATTAAATATTTTAAATTACATTGCTAAATTTACTTGATAAGACTGCTAACACAAAAAAACACTTATAAACTTTAATTACTATAACTTCTTGATAAAGAAACTTAAATAAACTGAAAGTAAAAACATTTCATGGACACGTGCCATATGAGAACGTTGCCTGTCGCTTACTAATTGTCAATCAAATTGAAGGTGGGTTCAAAGTAAACACTGAAGATTTTTAACCTTCACTTACCAAGTTCATAAGATAGTAGATTTTATTGTCAACTTTGTAAACATATGGGACTTACTAATATACATCTCAACATCAAAGCTGAATAAGATTGGAAGATGACCACTGTGTTAGTTAGAATGTTTTAAAATAGTAGAAAAAACCATTTTATCCAATGTCACTTTACAGGGAATATATTCAACGTGTATTCTAATAATTTTGGATTGCAATAAACAATTTAAAGCGGTTCAGAAAACAGTTTACATATATTTCGGACAAGCACCAGTATTTAGAAAGAGTTAGTCAAAAAATCTGTTTAAAGTGATCTCTAAGGACACTATTCGTCTATATGAAAGATCATGTATTCTAAATAGCCTCATTTAATAGAAAGTAAATAATTGATAAAGTAACTGTTTGTAATATAGAATCTGCGAAAGCCTATAGCATGGAATCCTCTTGTACTGGTAAAATATTTCAAGAACAATTTTGCAAGATGGCATAAGTCGTTTTGTAGGAAATAAGTAGTGCCTTAATTCATTCACCTTTAGAGGCAACAGTACTGAATTTTATTTTTGTTACAGGAGGCTTTGTAGAGATTATTGGATCTTCATGGTTTTGAATCATTAGTGGCCAGCTTCAAGATGAATATCCTGGAGCTTTAGTGATGAGTCATGACCAGTGGAGTTCAATCATGTTGAATCTAAGATAGTTATCCACCAGAGACAATGGAAGATGGTCGCGCAATATTGTGAATTGATCGAAGTTAAACATGTACACCACTGAGCGTTAGCTCAGTGGTTAAATTGCTGAGCGTTCGAGGGCGATACCGTAGGTCCTGAATTCAATCCTCGGTGATAGGGTTGTAGATGCGCACTGCCAAGGAGCTCCATACTAATAAGACGAAAAACCTGTCCAGTGCTTTCCGGTTTTTAATGATGGTCTAGTTAACATTAATTCGTGATTTAAAGCTGTGTATTTTATTTCACAAAAACAGTAAACACTCATTCAGAAGACAATTTTTGGTTCCAATGTTTCTGTGAAAATAAACTATAACTACTTTGAGAGGGATCAATCATTGTACAGGTAATATACTGCACAAATAACAATTTTTTCTTGAGCATACGTATCCGGTGACTAAGTAAAGATATAGGAAAGTAGATGGAGATATATACCTTATGAGAAACTACAACATACAAATTTATTCTTGTCTTGCACTTAGCATAAAACTGAGAATGCTGACAATTAAGGATAAGACTCACGATGCATGTGCTTGGAAAATCAGTCCGAATTGCATAAGTCTCACTAATTTAATGCAATTCGTCTATCACGTACGACTTTACGCCATAACTGAGTTTATCTAAGAACTAGTAATACTATTCGAGCGAAGATTAAAACTGGAATTTAATCGACTCAACAGAGAAGTCACCGTTTTATATATGTCGCAGAAGTCCTGAATAGTGCTTTTAAAAAAAAACAAAAGAATCAATGATGTAAGACAAAATCCAAATTAAACGAGTTTTTTAATACATAAACAGATATTTAAAAACAAACAAATGAATTACCAATAAACCAGGCCAAAATGCTTCAAGACTCTGAAATACTGCCATTGTAACTCCACCTTTATCCTTGTTTATCATTGGATTCCAATCACCATGTCGAATATGCTTTTCTATTGCTGATCTGTACTCTACAGTTGTAAAGAAAAATAAAAACGGTGAGCACAGTACTTTTATGGCTTACGTCGTAGACATCCTTCGACTGATTGTCTACCTAAGATCAGCTCGTTATGTTAACTTTAAAATCCAACAATATCCACAAAATTCTTATCCCAAGAACACAATTCTCCCTGTAGGATTATCAACGTCTAAAAATTTCACTAATATTTAGTAATGAGAATGGCAAAATCTATTCATTTTAAGTTAGTACAATTATTGGCACATCAATCAATAATGACAACGAAATCTATCACTAGTAACTATTTCAGTCAACCAGTCAAGCATAACGTAGAACCTAAAGCTTGTGCACATCAGTTTACGTTTTTATACCCCATTAACGCAAAGAGATAAAATTGCTAAGGCGAATTCCAGAATAGTAAAGGTAGTTGCAGTATTATTGGTAATGGAAAAGACTAAGGATCAACTACACGATTCAAGAAAATGTGAAATAAACAAATTGCAACGAATCTAGGAACTTAGGATGTAGAAGACAAAAGGTGGATGCAATTGCGCCACTGCGAACGATTTTGAGCTACCTCATTCAAAGTGCCTAACCATTAGTTACGGTAATCACGTGGATCCCAACCAGGTAGTCTTCATCTATAAACATGAATCAGTTCAATCGCCAATGGCTTCAAAGACTAGAGCCATGTTTTAGCTCGGCCGCCCTTAGCTTTTTTTCAAGCTACCTCAGGCCAGAAAACACTTCTCATCGAAGTAGGGGGTGGTTAGGTGTACGTAACACATGTCCCGATCACCTTAGTTGGTGGAGATTTACTACTTCATAAGTCAACTTCCCATCTTTACCTGGTACCATATTCCTAACATCGATGGTCCTAAAACACACGAGCAATGCTTCGAAGACACCTATGATCGAATACTAGTAAGCTATCGATATCCTCTGTTCTTAATGGCTATGTTTCAAGGCAAGAAAGTGGGATGGAGAGGATTGCTAAGCGACAAAAATGTCCTTTGGTTGGTAAACGAATATCTCGCCTCTTACACAAGTGACTCAGGTTGACTATTTCATGATGTACCAAAAATTACTACTTTGTTTGGGATGTTGTCAATCTTTTCAATATTTCTATATTAAATAAAAATAATATTTAGGATGTAAAGTGCGTATCTAAAGAGTTGTATTTACTGCTATTGTAACAACTATTGTAAGGCCAATCAATTTATCATTATATCATTCTTTAAATTAGTGAATAAATTATTCAGCTACTTAATCGACGAGAGGAATTCTTTACGTAACAGCTACATGGACACACATATTACTACAAGTGGGTTGCGTATGCAAATTACCGAAAGTATTTTCAATTTAGAAGCCGAGATGAGTCACTTCCTAGGAGGGATAACGTTAACCTTAATATCCGGGCTAGCGACGTCACTTTACCAACAAGAGGAGCCCAAATACAGTTTCCACTGGTTCGTTTTAGTCGGAAACCATTTTGATTTTCGTAATGTGTAATAAAGATTCTAGAATGTTGTTCATTAGTTGTGATCTGAATTCTAACTCCTTACACATAGCCGCTCTCTTAAGAATGTACATCAACACAAAAGCGAACATTTCACTTGCAAATATTTTCAGAAAGTGAAAGGTATTTTTTACGAATGTCCCTAGTGTCCTGGTATGATCGGGGGTAAGGAAAGTCTGCTCTCCCTTTCGAAATGCTCTCACGTGGTCACGTGTATACAACCGCTGTCAGGGAAGTCCTTCTCACTGACTTCTCGTGACGGGGGTGTTATTTACAAAATTGAGGGAACGAAAAGTGAATGTCCGGCGATTTAATCGGGTCGATGGATACGGAGGGTTTACCTAGGGGAGTTGGAAAAACTTGATTCCAAACTAATGGTGCACATAGGCTCCATGATCCTGAAGGGAAAAAAAAGGTATACGGACGTATTTTTGGCCGCCGGCAACCGTGGGACTGCATCTCCTAACACTGTTCCATTGCTTCGTGAATCAGACCTGCAGGTCAAAGGCTTGGAGAGTGGTCCTTTGAGAAAATCACCTGCTACTGTTTGTGCTCCCGGGTGATATCCCAACCCTCACACAAATCGAATGAAGTGTGGTGCATCCCTGTACAAATGTATGTGTTTAAATAAATAAATAAATAGATAAATCTCCTTCGAATGATAAACAGAGAATGAGCACGACTGAGTTTTCGAGGCGCTTATTCAGGTTATCGTTGATTTACGGGTCTATTAGTTCCATCATGATTACTTATCTCCATGTCAGAAAGTGAAGCACCCATCGCATTAAAATGTGATCATACCGCTTTGAAACCTTAAAATATCTTGAAAATTCATTTATGTTAAAATCTGTCGAATGTATTCATAAGAGGAGTTTTGAAGGTTATTTTTCTGCCTAGCCAGATAGTGAGAGTATCTCACTTGCCGAGACAGCATACGGAGCTTGATTGCAAAACTCGTTTTCTACCATTTTAGTATGAAGTAGCATTTCCCAATGTATCTCACTTTTGATCACTCTCACATTTATATATAAATGACTTTGTGAGCCGTTTTTTCCACCCTAGCACTAGAAACGTTCAAATCTGGCTCCCGATAACTGACACAAATAGCCTCAAACAGCTAAGTTATTTGAACACTGACACTACCAAAATAATGGTGGAAATAGTGAAAGTAAACCACTCTATTACGATTTAAAAACAACACTCCTGCAAACCTCATACCTCGAAACATGGAATCCAGCTCAGGAAGGCGAAATAGTGCTGCACCTTTAACCAAATATTCGAAATAAGAATCGACTCCTGAACCAATAGTGGCATCGCGGGCTGTCCAACTTCCAGTGATAACATCAATATGGTTTCCCAGTAATCCAAGAGAAGATCTGTATTTCCACATAGCTTTAAGAGCACGTGTTGCAACAGCCTCGTACCTGGGATCTCCTAAATGGAAAATTTATGTTGTATGAGGATACTTACCGAAAACAAGAAAAATGACACCTTGAAATTTTAGACTAAATTTTACAAGCACACAGTTCTCGATAAAAAAGTACAACCAGAGGAAGAAATTTCCTGGTTTTTCAGCCGTAGAAATAAGATTGCTGGTTTGCTTTTGCTCAGAATGCAGAAGTATGGTAACTTGAGGTGACAAAAATGGGCCAAAGAAAATACAACTTGATTTTTGGGAAAGTTAAAAAAGCATATAGTGGTAAAAGGGAACGTACAGTGACGGAAAATCTGATTGAAAAGTCGGTCGGCGCATATTCTGTTTCATTGATTTACGTGAAGCAACCGACAACGGGGACTTGATATGCGGGTACATGAATGAAAACCCGCAAAATTTGAATCTTATTGGCACTCATGTAGAAAAAAACATAACATGGAAACAGTGTAGAAATCATATCAAGGAGTTGGTCATTTTAGATAAAAGCCTACTACATCGATAAAATGGATGTAGAGCGGTAGTCTAATGATTTCGGAACTAGGGTCTTACCCACACAGCTGCCAAGCGTTCGCATCAGGCGTTATATATAAGCATACGCAGTAGTCATGAACGAACAGTGAGAGCTAAGTATAAGTATGCAAGTATATATGGGAAAATTTTAGACAAGAAGAGAAGAACAAATATAGATTTCATGTACTGAAAGTGTAAATATGTCCAAAAATAACGAAAAATAACATGACTCGAACACTACCTGTAAGACGAGATAGTGCCCCAAACTCCAAAATAAATGTACCAATGCCAGCAACGCACGTGACTGTAGTCTCGCCTTTAGGAACGCCACCCAGTTCGAAGTTGACAGTACCGTATGGCATCCCGGTCGGGGTGTCGAAAGCAGGCAAAAGCTTAGAAGCAAACACTTCTGCTTGCCTTAGTAGTGGTCCAGAACACGGCCAAGATGGTTCTACTTCAAACCCGGCCCTGCGTGACAAAAGATGAGCCGAGATGAGCCCGCCGACAACTAAAGGGTATAAAATAATCAAATCGAAATACCTCTGATGTTAGTTTCGAAAACGGAAGCATTGACATTTTTTTCAGAATCTAAGTGATCAAGAAGAGCACGTGCAGCACGACGAAACTCAGTAACATTGTCCATTATAACAAGTGTATCAAGTGCATCTACCAGTGTCAGCGAGAAGCTCCCCCATGTATCATGCCCATCGCATGAAAGCGGTCTTAACTCATCTAAGGGATATGCATACTTAAGGTAATTATCGTAAGCATGATAAAATATTTTTCTAACGCGGTCTCTAAATGATATGAACAAACTGAAAATTGGAATTACTTGAGGTTTTCCATATTATGTGCGAAACCAACTTCACTGTGAGTAACTGCTAACAGTAGGATCACAACACTAATCCGAAACATTCTTAAGACAAAAGAAGGAAAAAGCAACTTGTAAACCCCTCAGACACCTCTTCTTGATTTCATTAACCAATCAACTAATAACCTTGAGATTGAAAAAGATGACACACTAAATTCAATACCTGTTGGTTAGTCAATAAGCTTTTTAATTATACTAGGTTGAACCGTTAGTACTTTTGGTCATGTATTAAAATTCAAGAATATCATCGTGGGTTTTTTGAAATCATGTAATCTGTTCTCATGCGTTGGACATCTGAAAAGGACATAACAGTTATTTATAATAATCGGAACACCTGATAAAAGACGCTCAAACTAATTTTCCACGATACTATAAGGGCCAAAAAAGATTTTTATATCTTAATTACAGAGTAAATATTCTATCGACTCTAGGATCTGCTGTAACGAATGATCTTTGTCTGGCCCATTTGGGAACGGAGTAAGTGACGTCGTTTGCTCATCAGAGTTATTACTGGTCTGATACTAATGCTGATATTAATAGGTAAACCGTCATGAAATAAACCTTGTTGGATTCCTTGATTTAAATTTGATGAGTCGTGACAGCTTATGTATACCGAGTTTTGTGTGGCATGTGCGAGTATTTGACAGACTTATTCGGTAATTATTAACATTTTCTAGCAGCTAACTCTTAGATCTCAGACATTTCGAACGCATTTAAAGAACAAAATACTATGACATTGATGATGTCACAGGTATTCAGTGTTTGACAACGCTTCTACCAGTAACACCTAATATATTTCGTTCCCACCCAGAGAAATCAAAAGACAGAGTCGAGGAGATCGGAAGAGTATATTTGGCGACAACCAATATATCGGAATTCTCTGATCTATTCTGGCTATCGTTTGCGGTTGACGTTGAGCACGGCGTTACCACACGTGATCTGGTGCGGATGCCTGACCGAGCGCCTTCAGTTAGATGAGTCCACAAAACATATTGTCAGCATCCAATGTCGAAAACTTAGTGCTATTTATTTTGGGGATTTATTTACCGCTACAACAATAACAGTTTCGCCGAGTAAATGATGGTTGACCATTTACGGCGATTATGGTTTGGAGGATAGGTACTCGGATGGAAAAGATTCTTGATCTGAATTATTATTCAATACACAACAGATATATGTGTAGCAGTGAGTTAATCCATCAAGCAAATAGTTCCGTGAGTCTTCGACATTGATGCTGACCTAATTAATTTTGCTGGACACACCCTTGCTGAAGGCTAGGGTGTACATAAACTTCTACAAAGGACTCGTGTAACTTGACCTTTATTACTTGACTTTACTCAAGATTTAGCCATATTTTGTACTTGCATGATGCCGATCATTACCAATTGGGCCTTATTTGACTGAATATTAGGTGACAGCGTTTTTTTGTTGTCTGTCGGAAACAGTTATTATTCCCATGATTGCTTGCAGACATAAATTTAATCTTACTTTTTTGGCAAAATTTTTGCTGAATTTCAGGTAATTAGTGGTTATATTTGCTAACTATTTTTCTCTGTACGATTTTCTCCAGTAAGATAGCTGCTATCAGAAAAACATTCGGCTGTATGGTAGAAGCAGTGCTGTATCTTTCCGTATACTTTGTTTTCACACAAGTACCGCCTAATTTAGGTACAGCATCTTTGTTTTAGTAAAGCTGTTTAAAACTATTAAGTTAAATAAGTTTCATTCATCTTAAAAAGGAAATTCGTTCGTCATAATCGAATAATCTATGGTTTGCTGATTGCCTAATTTATCGAACATCTTGCTGAAATCTTGTAAGCTTATTTCAACATACCGCTATCAGATATTAATGCCCGATTTGTGCAGAAGATCAGATAGTTAGTATTAAGTAACCAGATCGATGGGTATGATGAAATGTATCCGTATATTTTTCAAAGAACTTTAAAAGCAAAACAGTGATAAGTCCTTCTGTATTTGAAAACTTCAACAATTTTATTATTTTATCAACTAGAATTGTCATTATGTTTGTCATTCATGTCTGGACATTCTCTGATTTGACTACTGGGAATCCAATCTGAGCCCATTGACTTGTTTAGAATAAAACTACTTGATTCAAAGATTTTAAAATTTCGTAAAGATTACTGTCTAGAATTGGCAGTTTACCTGCCCGAAATCTGACTCCAAGTAGACCGTATGAATGATTGTTATTGAAATCTATATGTTGCCTATCCTCGTATGTAATCATCGACATAAATTGCGGTAGTCAATAACGGAATTAAATATGTCAAATAACGAGAATGAACTTTTGAATACATATGTTTTGTATGTGAAGCGAATGGAATAGAGCGAAGCGAAATGACGCGCAATCGAGAAGGTATGTGAGCCGACTCCATTTAACCAAACGTTAATCAATATTTATAGTCACACAAAAATATGTTACAGACATGTGATGAATGGGATAGGAAGGGCACATTCATATTCGCTCATATAAAAAACGTCAAGGTTGATAAGTGAATAATTAACAAAGTCAAATATGACTCAACTAGAATGAATGGATTGGCCTATTCGAAAGCTAGAATAAAATATATGGGCTGAACATGCTAACCGATACTACAGTAGCTAACTGAGGTGTCGCCAATAAAATCAGGATCAGTAAGTAATCAACCTTAGTATTGTTGTGACGGGCGGTGTCCAAAATCTGATACAGATAAGCACTGTATTACACACTAACCCCTTTACAACCGACTATTGGAGCGAGGAAGTGTTTTGAGACACCATATGAAATGCACAAGCAATCATTCATACATGTACATACCACTTTAATCTTTACAAAATTGATCCGTTTACTAGCCAATGAAGTGCACTTGTCCTTTAGGCCACTTCTGATGTAGAATCCAAACTACGGTTTGGATGTTGAAGAATAGCCTACCGGGGACTTTTAGACACGCGCCCTTTCCCGTCGAAATCAGAACAAGTAATCGGGTAACTAGCGGTTCTATAATTCATAATAAATTTAATGTAAATCATTACCTAAACAAATATTATCACCCGGCTATTCAACCAATGATTGTTCAATCAATTAAATCTAAATTACAATAATAAAGAAGTTGATAGAAGATGAGGAAAAATTACCAATCACAACAAATCAACGTTATTCTATCCTGGCTGGATAGATCACACACAACAGGAGGAACGAATCAATATGGCTACCGCCAAGAACAAGTGTCAAGTAAAACAACACAGATGCAGTTCAGGAAGAAACACAAACTTAGTGAATGCGTAAGAAAAACAAAAACTATAATAAAAAATACAAGTATTAACAACTCAAATGTAATCAAAATACCACAATGTACAACTAAGGGAATCAATAGGAACAAAGTACAAGTATATACATGGAGGGATTTTCACCAACACACAAAACCTTCAAAATGGATCTTACATCTGATTGCCATTGTTATTAGGCTACATCTGATTGGCTCTACATATCAGTTATATATTTTCTCTCTAAGAAGACAGTTGAAATACGTGAGATGGATGGCATTTATTTATCTACAAGAAAGCGTTCAGTTTCGTCACCCCGTGCTTTTGAGTTTAATCATACTTTGAGTAGTGTGCCGTTGTCTCAGTGAGTAGTAACACTGTAAGAAACTTAAAAGTAGGTAGTGGGAACGTGTATGCTTAACGATCGTAAAGACAAAGTCACTTCTTACAAATTAAGTTCATGTATCATTGTTTCTGTAGTCATAGTTACTACCCTAAAATTGCATTTGTTTAGTGACATCTAACATAGTCACATTGTTTTGATTTTTAGAGCGAAATGTTTAAGACAGAACGCTTCGGCGTAGAAATATTAAGGAAGAAGTGAACATGATCTTCATGAGCGACTGAATCCGAAACGAATAATTTAGTACAAAATTTATAAGATCATAGTCGGAATCAGGATATCACTGCCAATAGACTGTATGTTCCGACTACGTAATCTTAATAACTTTATGATCTAATCAACCTTATGATTCGACATAAGGTTCTTGCTAACATTCTTTATCAAAGTATGGATAGTTGACAATCAAATATTCTCTGAGCTGGGCTTCTTAGTACAATAATAAGTATTTTGATGATAAGTAGATAAGTACACTGATGAGAAACTTAGCATATTGGAAGCAATTAGTATTTCAATTTACATTAAAGATATTGAATGCACTCTAAGTTTGAATCTGTTAAAAATACAATAGTTACGAATGTTAACTGAGACGGCTATTAGGAATCTGTATAAGAATAGTAAATGGATAAAGTTTGATTGTGTTACCTAAATACAAGTATATTCGACTTTCAATACAAAAAATATGCGCAGTATGATGCTTCAAATAAGGAAAGGATTTCAGAAGAAAACAACCATTAGGTCGATACAGAATACATTCATTAAAACGATAATAAACTGAACCATACGATGGGTTGTTTGCATTTGGGGAAATATAAAACCTCAGATCTATTCAGAACGTATTCTGGTAGATATGAATTATTCAGTTCTTGAAATAGGAAACAACTGTTAACATATATATCGAACTATAATAATCCAGTTAAATTTGTACAAAGTAATTATCAGTTATTACAAACATCGCAAAAACTTAGTTAACTTACAATGTTTTTTTATTTTTGTTAGTACTTCCGTGCAAGTAAAACTATGTTTACTTTAAACAATATTGGAAGTGAAACCCGTTTTGGGTACTTTATTAGTTTTAAAGGTTCTCTAACATTTTAACCGTTTACTAAGCCATAAGCAATTTTCATACCCGGAATAACTATAAATGACATATTGAAACGTAAGTTGTCTTATGTATCATTACAATGATTAAAAGGTGTGTAAAAAAATTTTCATCATAAATTTAAATGTTAAAGAGGAAAAATGTATTTGTAAAATCTCAGTGAAAGAATTCTGAAGTAAATCCAACGTTTCGCCTGGCAATCTGGCCCAAGCTTTTTCGACGAAAATATAATCAAACAGCAAAAATTATCGAATATAAATAAATACATGGTTCTCTGGTTTACTGTATACTGAATACGTCATCCAATCAACATGGACACTGTTTGAAGTAGGTATTTACATGTCTTTTACACACTAATGTAAATAGCTACTTCAAATAGTGTTTACGTTGATTGAATGACGTATTCAGTATACAGTAAAACTAGAGAACCATGTACCTATTTATATTCAATAATTTTATTGTTTGATTATATTTTCCTTGAAAAAGCTTAGACCAGATTGCCAGGCGAAACGTTGGATTTACTTCAAATTCTTTCGCCGAAGATTTTACAAATACATTCTTCCTCTTTAATGTCTCACATTAACTCAGCGCCCAAATATTGTGAAACTATTCGTTCAAAATTTAGACAAAAGTTCTTATGAATTGAAATGATTTAAATGATGAAATGCTTATCACATGGTGATTTAAATTTGCATGCTTAATCCCATCTGATGACCACTGAATGAGATCTGAATTATTCTAAAGCTAAACAAAATAGATTTTTGTAAATTTCAACACTTTAATAATCAGTTATTTGGTTAGTGATAGTTAGTCTGTTAATGGGAAAAAAATGTTTATAAACCAATCAGTCCATTAATTATTATTATTATGCAATTTCATTAATTTTTTTCTTATAGAAACAAATAAATTTCATTCAAAAAAAATAGACATACAAAATACATACTGATAATGAATGAAAATGCAGTTCACTTTTTAAAAGTATAATCAGTTAGCTAACTTATAATTAGAATATATGAAACGAGGTAAATGTTAAATCATCATAAAAAGCGAAAGCACCTTCAAAAACAACACCGTTTGAAAAAGTCTTTTTTGTATAAAAAAACAAACAAACAAAAGAATACAGTACGTTACAATTGTGTATTACATGAGAATGATCTATTATTATTAATGAATTAGTTCGAATTTAAAAAGCAAACAAACAACCTTCATTTAAAAATTGGACTGAAAAAAGTGGAGGTTCATGGTTTCACAAAACAAACAAAAAGTTGGATTGATTTTTATTTTCATTAAAAAGGAATAAATAATGACAAAACAAAAGAGAAGAAACAACAAACTTTCATATTACATACATGATTAGATAATAATAATAATACATAGCGTCTTGTCTGTACTACTTTCAATTATTAGTATAAGTAGTACATTTTAAATTCAAATATACACAGATTTCAACAAATATGAAATAAGCTTAAATGAGACATGAAAAAATGTCTAGTTCATTATAAATAAAAACAATTTTTCATTACTTTATATGATGGGCTATTACAACAAGTAATGTTCATGTTTTGTTTTGTTTCGTTTTTTTGAAGATAACTACTGATATAACAACAAGACGGTAGAAGCGATTTGGAAATTCTTAACACACACACACAAAAATAAACACCAGGGGAAAAAAGAAAGAGGATCAATTTAAAATGAAAGTAATTCGTCATCATCATCATCATCAGAATGAATAAATATTTTTGAAGTGTACAAAAAAAGAGAGAGAGAGATGGGTTAAACAAAGAAACAAGCAAAAGGGGTTATAGTGCATGATAGAAAAAAAACCAAATACTTTCTAGTCTTCTAAACATAAATAAACAATATTTTCATGTGCACATTCTCAATTTATTATTTTTTTTAAAATTTGTTCATTAAATGATATAGATATTTCCTTTAGATTTTTGGAAACTATTTGTTTTTGGTTTTTAGTTTCAAGATTTATAAAACGCAGCAACAACCGTCATCACGTGATTTATTCTGTTGTATTTGAGGTTGAGTATTTGCATGTTTCATATCAACTACCGCTTTGGCCATCTTATAGAATACCTATATTGAATTAAAATAGAATAATCATAAATGTTTATAAATAGTGTCATTATGTATTGAAGAGAATTGTGATTTTTTGTGTTAGTTAAGTGGTTACTAATTGAGTAGGTGAAAGATGATAGTGACTATTGTTCCAGATAGACTGGTAAACATTTAGACAGGTATCTGATGTGTCATATGTGTTCCCCTGCCCTATGTACTTAGTTGATTATTGATTGATACACATACTGGCCATGCGAATTATATGTTCTTCATTCAAGTTATGTGAAAGCATGGTAGAGAAGTTGGTGACTTGGTATCTAATACAAAGCGGACAATACCGTAATCAGTAAAACCGTTCATTATTAGTTCTAAGTAAACTAGAGCTACTTTAGTATACGGAGGAAGTCGAGTTTTATATCAATTACATGATAATCCTACTTAATAATGGTAGGCGTACTGAAAGAAATTGTCTATTTGGTTTGTGTTTCACCCACAACTAGTCAGTACTACTGTGTCACATGAACTCTGATGAGCTGGTTATTGGTTGACGAAACTCGTCATAATGGAAAGACTGATCAGTTTTCACAAGTTCAAATTTTTTCTAATACGTCTGAAGTATCTGGATATTTATTCCAATTCAAGCATTCCATGTAGCAATATTCATTATTCCATTGTACATATGTAAACAAGATAGTGTCATAGATTTTAGATTGTCATAACCATTTATCTTAAAGAGAGCAAGGACAAAGATTGGTGCAGAAAATATGAATTCACTTTATTTCGCTAGGTTCTCATCAGCAGCTGATAATAAAGGGAACTATGTGTATGATATAACCATTTAGTTAGTTTGAACAAAATCACTTTTAATATTTTTTTAAAATAAATCCAACTACCTTTAAAATAGTCTGTTTTTAATCCTAATTAAGTGTTCACCAGAAAAAAAACCTATTTATTTTGTTGTATGATTGCATAATAATACTGTTTTAAGGAAGAGTTATTAGGACGTACTAAGTGATCATTGGAAACCATAGTCAATTTTTATTACCGTTTATTGTACTTTGTTATTTCGTCTAAAGAATTATAGCTTCTTCGATTGTCTTGATCAAAACGTACCATTTATAGTGAAACTAATTCATAACTGAGTCTTGTTTTACCTTAGGGACAAGTGGTTTGTCCAAATTTAAGAGGTCTTGCGTAATAAAAACAATAATAATAATAATAATAATAATAATAATAATAATAACCATTTTTACAGATACAATTACATGGAAATTATAGTTTATAGAATCATATTAGTTTAAGTAAATGAAACACAGTAATTTTTATGCAAGTTGAATAGCGATGGGTATCTTGTCCCATTCAAAACTCATTAGTAAAGAGTAATTATACACCATAGTTAATGTTCATACTGAGATTCGAACTCGCCGCCATAATTTTCAAACCCCAATACATTACCCACTGGGACATAGTGAGTTCAAATATTCACTAGCCTATGCAATGAGTATAAGTTTTATTTATTAGGGTTTGTCTTTTCATGTTGTTGGCGTTAAGGACTGTAATACATCCATTATTAGCAGCTTATCGAAATTTACTGAGAACTTATATCTAAATAATACGTTCAGGATGCATATATAGACTACCAGACACTGATCAAATGCACCTACTTAGGATTAACAACGAGAAAATGCAACCTCTTACAAATAAGATCAATAACCTTCCTATTCTCATGAGAAAAAAACTCAACCACCATGAATATACGGTATTTTAGACATGTAATAAGTACATGTTTTGGAAAAACAACGTGAATTTCTTATTTAAAAAAAGTAATTACCTGTTGAACATTGTGATTTGTTTTAGCTGAAGTTTCAATGTATTCTATATTCTTTCTTGCAGCATATTCGAAAGCTTCTCTCTGTGACACATTCCTTTGATTCGCTAAATCTACTTTATTGCCAACAAGTATAATTGGAACATGTCCTAATTCTCGAAGAAGAGCAATTTTTTCCCTATAGGAAAAAAATGGAAGAGTTAATTAAATGTTACAATCTTGAAAAAATATGAAATGTTTTCATATACGTTCTGTGCATACAGTAGTTATATTCAATGTAGGGAATAACTGAGAAATTATAATAAAATCTGTAACTAGTGGAATCCGGCAATACTGGGTGTAAGACATATATAATCAGTGGCAATGTTGATAATCGTGCAATAACACAAGTTTATGGTAATAGGAAATGTGAACCAATGAATGACAACTTTGTCAAATTAATTGTAACTTGGGTATATGAAGATCCAACACTATTTTGTGGGGGAGGATAAACTCGGAAAATCTAAAATCCGGAGGTATTATATCCCGATGAGAATAATGAATGGTAACATTTGGGATGCATTTATGGACCGATACTATGCGTATATTTTTATTGTATAATTGATAACTAAGCTATTCATATTCTTGTTCCTCATATCATAAGCTTTATTTCGACCTATCAACTGTTATTATACGATTTACCATTCTTGAGTTACGCACTATCTATCAATTACTATCTCTACTATTCACAGCCACATTTGGCTAAATCTTGTACAGATGTTGTTTCCCATTTTATGGTATGACGTGGTCTGTTTGGTTGGTATATAAACCCAGTATGTTTGAAGTAAATGATTCATATCACAGAGGCTGAGATTGGTGTTCTGAACTTAACAGGCAGGGCTAGGCAGGAAGCAGGATCGATGAAGACTCTAAACTGCTCGTACGGGTTTTATGAGTCATTGATCCGGTCGATAATTCACTGTTCTCGAATTGGCTGGCACAAGTTATAATAAACTCAATAGTGTGAAAGTGATCTCCTCACTGTGAGGCTTCAAGGTTCTAGATTTTAATACTAATACAGTTGCTAATCCACAAAATGGATGAGTTTCATACTAGGGTAGGAGAGTTGGCAAACGTTTTTCTAGTATTTAACAGTTGTCTATCTAGAATTGGTTAGCGATGTAAAGTAAAAATCCATGAATTTGAAATGAAACTGTGTTGAACTGAAGAAATGTCATTTATAATACTATCGTAAAATAAATGAGAAGTTAACAGTTGATATCTTATTTGTTCACATCTTATATAAACATTACCTAAGAAGAAATATTAAAAATGTAAACAGATTAAAGAATATACTTCATATTGTATATTGGTAAACATGAGAGAATATGATGAACTTATTTATTTGTTTTCTTTTCACACACACACACACACACAAGAAAAAGAAGTTTCCTTTTCCCAAAATGATGAGATAAAATGATAATATTTTTAATATTAAATAATAATGACCACAAAGAAGTTCACTTTTACTCTCTCTTTTCTTTAAAAAAAAGATTTTAGTAAATAAATAATCTATGCACTTTTTTAATATTAATTAAATAAAAGTAAACAAAATCAGAGTAAAAATGAATGAGATTTGTTTTGGTTCCTTTAATGTTAAAAGTAATTGAATAGGTAAATTACAGTTTGTGTAACTAATACAATTAAATGTGATCATCAAAAAGTTAATTGAAAGAAAGCATTTCATCCTACTCACACGTCCGCGTTGTGCCTCATAGATAATGAGACGAATGACTCATGAACTAACATGAGCGGTAATCCGGGTGGTGGAGATCGGGCTAATCACCCACTCTTACCTATACCCACCAATCGATTACGAATCCCACAGAGAAACATAGCACAATTAAATAATTAAATGTTAATGAAGATTAATTACAAAGATATTCATTGATATAACTTGTGATTATGTACTTTATTAATATATAATATAATGATACCGCCAATTAGAGAACAATGACAGACCAATGACGTATAAACATATTGAGTTTTATATACAAACAAAAACAGACGACATCACACCATAAAATAGAAAATAATATTTGAACAAGATTTAACCAAAAGTGACTGTGGATATAGGAGACTGTAAATAATAGACTAAGCATAACTTAAGAACGGTAAATTATATAACAATAGTCTATGGATCAAAATAAAGCTTATAATAAGAGGAACATGAATATATGTAGTTTAGTTGCTTAACACTTATAATATATATGTATAGTATTAGTCCATAAATAGACTCTAACAGTTACTGTTCATTATTCTTGTCGAGATATAACAGGCAAAAACAATAAAAATGCTAACAAGAAATAAAGATTCATGTTGATTATGAATTACCATAAAATTTATTGAGATCATGAATCGATCAATGTTAGACCACCACTGAAAACCTGGAGGCATTGGACGGCCGTTTCATCCTAGTATGGGACTCTTCAGCACTGCTGAGGGTTCGTGACCTCAATCAAAAACTTAACAATCTTCACAACCCGATACTGATAAAATTTATTGTATTTTATAATAATAAATAATCGAATACCACTGACTTGATGTTTTACATGACTTTCTTGAACATTTCCGTATGAAATATTAGGTGGATTTGATTTTCATTTAATCGATAAGTATGCATGCATATAAAGTTTATAGTGTAATCTTGACCTATCTGTGACAAATTTTAAAAAATGGTGTACATTGAGTGTAATGAACTCCTACTGAAGAAAATATTGCCAAAACTAGAGTGTGTACTGTAAAGCAATCACGTTTGGAAGGGTCACTGTGAATTGAACGTGAACTCCCCTTATATGATACATTACAATTCTCCTAATCGGGGCTGACTAGAGGACCAATTACATGAAATAAACAAAAGATTACAAAATATATATAACTCCAGGACAGACTGATGAAAGTGTAAAACTCAGTACAAATACACAATAATTACAATTGCTACACTTTAAAAAAAATAAAAAGGAGGAAAAGGAGGTTAAAACAACGAAAATAGTAAAACTATAAACACCGAGAAATATACAGAAATTTCATTTTATTTTCATTAGTTTAGTACTACCAATTATGAATACAATGAAACTACTGACCAGATAAGGGAGTGAACTAAGGTTATATAAACTAAAGAAGTATTGTGTCAAGAGGCTATTATGGTTCTTCGGAAAAGTCCTCAGAAGTCAGAAAAATGCTAGATATAGAGAGAGCTTGCGTAAGGACCGAGAAGCCTGGTGGTCGATGCGTGCTAATGAGCTGGAAGCAGCAGCTGCATCTGGTAACTACCGGAAGCTCTTCCAACTCATCCGAGCCACTGGCAGCAAGAAGTCTGGTGTGAGTGAAACAATCCGCGAGGATGATGGGATGCCAATCACTAACATCCATCGACGTCTTGGACGATGGGCAGACTTTTTGGAAGGGCAGTTCAACTGGCCTGCTGCTCCGGCAACATCGGTCAGACTATCCTGCCCTCCATGGCCGGTGACGACTGATCCACCAAACAAGGAGGAAATCCGCAAGGAACTCCAACTCTTGAAGCATTACAAATCACCTGGCCCAGATGACTTACTTCCGGCTCTTTTTAAAGATGGTGGTGACTTTCTAACTAAGGAACTGACTGTGTTGTTTACAAAGGTCTGGGAGCTAGAGAGTGTACCAACGTCATGGAATGAGTCGATAGTTGTCCATATCTTTAAAAAGGGTTCACGTCGTTCCTGTAACAACTATCGGGGGATAAGTCTACTTTCGATTGCGTCCACACTATTGGCTTCCGTCATACTTGTTCAAAACCCGAGAAAGATTGACTCGCGAGGAGCAGGCTGGGTTTCGTTCTGGTCGAGGATGTATTGATTATATCTTCACTCTCCGCCAAATGTTAGAACACCGTCATACTTTTCAAAGGCCAACAATCGTAGTGTTTCTTGACATCAGGGCTGCCTTCGATTCATTGCATTGAACTGTTCTCTGGGATTATCTATCGAAGAATCTTTGTTCTTGCTCTTTTCAAAATGATAAAGGGAACTATGTGTATGAAGAAGAGTGTGCCTGAGGAGTTTAGTTAACATCTTGAGAGCCCTATATGCAAACACCTCAGACAGAGTGAGGGCATACAACCACCTCTCTCCATTGTTCCACTCAAGCAGTGGGGTTAGACAGGGTTGCCCTATCTCACCATTCCTCTTCAACTTTGCCATCGATGACATTCTGGAAACAGCTCCGATGGATGTAAGTAATGGCGGTGTGGATCTGTTGTCTGGAGAAAGACTTCTCGACCTTGAGTATGCGGGCGATATTGTCTTACTGTGCGATAATGCCCAAGGCATGCAATCCGCACTTAATCAGTTGGCAATCAGTGTCAGTAGGTATGGTATGTGCTTTGCACCTTCGGAATGCAAAGTACTTCTACAAGACTGGCAGGATTACAATCCTGTACTCACCCTGGATGGTGAGCAGATAGACGTAGTCGAGAAGTTCGTGTATCTGGGTAGCTGCATAAGTGCTGGTGGGGGTGTGAGTGATGAGATTAATGCACGAATAGTGAAAGCCAGAGCGGCTTATGCCAATCTGGGCCATCTATGGCGCCTTCGTGATGTTAGTCTGGCTGTAAAAGGTCGGATCTACAACGCGTCGGTGAGAGCAGTTTTGCTCTATGCTTGTGAAACCTGGCCTCTCCGAGTTGAGGATGTTAGACGACTCTCTGTGTTCGAGCATCGCTGTCTCCGAAGGATTGCTGACATCCAGTGGCAACACCATGTCAGTAATGCAGAGGTTCGGCATCGTGTGTTCGGGCACAGAGATGATAATTCAATTGGTGTCACCATCTTGAAACACCGACTTCGGTGGCTTGGACATGTTTTACGAATGTTGTCCCAGAGAATTTTACGTCGTGCATTATTTACCGACTCTGGGACTGGTTGGAAGAAGCGGAGAGGTGGTCAGTGCATGACATGGTGTCGTGGCATGAAGGAAAGCTGCAAAGGACTGGCTTGTGTTGGTCCTTCACGACTCCCTGGTTGGGGTCCGAGAGATGGTACAACACAGTGGCTAGAGACGTTATCAGATATGGCTCAGAATAGAAGCCAGTGGCGATCCTGCTGTAACCTTCTTTTACTTTCTTCATAAAAAGTGGTTGTGTCTCCCTTACCTGAAAGATTTCTTCCGATTGTACCTTTCCGTTCCCTCATTACTACCACATTACCTTACACCAATCTCTTCGTTATTGTTCTCTTTTTTTACGCTCCTCACCTTCTTTTCTTTTCTTTTCTCTTCGAATTCTCATTGTTTTGTGTGGCGCATATATATTGGCGCTCTTCTGTACCAATATTTATGTGTTCAAATAAATAAAAAAAGAAAGAAAAATGCTAAAAGAAAACTATGTCTAATTAGAGCTCTTTTATAACTTCCAAAAAGTACCTAGACAATGACTGGGTATGACTTCCTCATATTAACTGAACAATTATCGATTTTTCTCATGACTTCAAGAAGCCTCTATAATCCAAGAGTTATATACAGTCCAATAAAAATACCCTGACTTTCTAAATAATAACCTTTCCAGGTTTAGGAATTAGTTAGGAAGTCAGTGTATAATTATTTATCTACGAGATATATTATAAATGTAAAACAAGACATTAATTAAATTTCAAATAATAATTTGTACATCCACATTAGAAACACTTACATAAAGTCATTAACAGCGCAAAATGAAGCCAAATCAGTTATTGAAAATACAATAATGAATCCATCACAAGTACGATAAGCTGTTTCTGTTATACCGGCATATGATTCTTGACCTGAATGAAATTGAAAACAATAAAAAGAATGTAATAATTAGAAGATTATGAATAGGGAATTGTAGAAATTAATTTATAAAAGTTAACTTTATCATAAATTAGAAAACACACTGGAAACATTTAGGAAATTCTTAGTTTAGATAAGGAAAAACAACGCTTAGAAAATTTGTACGAAACTTCATATAATTAATATGATCAGTAGCCAAGGTATTAACTGATTTTAGTTCCAGTGAGATATAAAATTGATTTTCTTCAATCGTCTATGGATATTTTATTATACTTTTAAGAAACAGTAATTTTATAACTTTGTTAATTAGTTATATTTGTTGATTATAGTCATTTAACTTCATGATTTTGTAAATTTGTGTTTGTTTACACAGGCATTTATTGATTAGTCCGTCCATGTCAAGTGGTACTCAGTGTAATTTATTCAAATCTCGCTGTTGATCAGTGTATATGAAACATAAAAATCAATGTGTATTCAGAAGTGGTTTCGCTTCATTTTTAGTTTAGATTTTATTTGAACAGTTAAAAACCTTCTTTGAGGCGTCAGGAAAAACAAATTGAACAAGATCAAATAGGAATCATCAAAGCCGTTATGTAAGGAATGTGTTTATGTCAACAAAATCCTTCATGCAATAAGCTATAAGCATCACACATAGGTTCAGTTAGTAGTGGCATAAGTAAAAATCGCTTGAGCGGTATAGCTGGTGCTATATTTTATTCATGGTTCGAAAAGTATGAAAAACTGCTTCATGTTAAGTTTTGTAAACCCGGTAATGCTGACTGACTGAAGTTGAATGATAATTAAAAATGAGGGACACTAAAGATATGTCCTATTTGAAAAGACTCTTCAACAATAAATATGTAACATACCTCGACAAGTACGAAAACTTTGAGTCTTATAACTAACTATGTTATGAGTGTGGATTGCTGACATTTTCTAAACTAAGTGAAAGAGGTTCCCAATGGTCAGTGATTTTCAGTAGCGTTCTAGTTGTTGTTAAACATCAACAAAGATCATATACTAAGTCATTTATGTGTATTTAATTTGTATAGAAATTTGTATTGATTTTTATAATTTACCGCTTTTCTATGTTATTATAACACTAATGACTAATGGATGTAGTACATTAGTACATAAATTATGACAATCCACCATCGTCAGTATGGATTTCAACACTAACATTCTCTATCTACATAATTTTGATCAAAACGATTCTACGGATCTCTTCATTTTCCAACATTTTACATATATTAATTACTTGCTTACGCCTGTTACTCCCAGTGGAGAATAGGCCGCCGAATTTGACATATATTATTAACTCGAAATTGATGAATCAATATTGGAACTAAAAATGGTATCCCACTATGCTGGTGAGGTGTAGTAGTAAGCAATAGATATTCATCACGTATTATTAGACTAAAAAGAATGCCAATTACACCAACTGATAACAACGTTTAATAAGATTTTTTCGGCAGAACATCTAATTAACAGTATTGTTGAACATGTCAGTCTTCAAAAAATTGACATCAATAGGTTATGACAAATTTTAATAATTATCATAACTGATAGGTCCTGAGTTCGGATCCCGCGAGGTGGGGTTGTGGATGCGCACTGCTGACGAGTCCCACAATAAGACGAAACGGCCGTCTAGTGCTTCCAGGTTTTCCATGGTGATCTAGCCTCAATTGACGCATAATCTCAACTATTGAAATTATCATAACTATGTAGTCATGATGACTGCAGATCAGTAAAATTACAGCACACAATAATTTCACAAAATAAACAAATTGATATATATATAACATTTAGTTATACATTTCTGTTATATCCTAGTGAAGATTACTCTTCTCTCAATACCGGGAAAAGTCTTCAACAGGGTATTGTTAAACAGAATGAAGAACTCCGTAGACGCTCAACTTCGAGACCAACAGGCGGGATTTCGTAAGGATAGATCGTGTACAGACCGAATTGCAACTCTACGGATCATTGTGGAACAATCAATTGAATGGAATTCATCACTCTACATCAACTTCATTGACTATGAGAAAGCATTTGATAGCGTGGACAGAACAACACTATGGAAGCTTCTTCGATACTACGGCGTGCCTCAGAAGATAGTCAATATCATACGGAATTCCTATGATGGATTAAACTGCAAAATTGTGCATGGAGGACAACTGACAGACTCGTTCGAGGTAAAGACCGGTGTCAGGCAAGGTTGCCTACTCTCACCCTTCCTCTTTCTCCTGGTGATCGACTGGATCATGAAGTCGTCAACACCTGAAGAGAAACGCGGGATACACTGGACATCTAGGATGCAGCTGGACGATCTAGACTTAGCAGATGATCTGGCCCTTCTATCCCAAACGCAACAACAAATGCAGGAGAAGACGACCAGTGTAGCCGCAGCCTCAGCAGCAGTAAGTCTCAACATACACAGAGGGAAAAGCAAGATTCTCCGATACAACACAGCATACACCAATCCAGTCACAATTGACGGAGAAGATTTGGAAGATGTAAAAACCTTTACATATTTGGGCAGCATCATCGATGAACACGGTGGATCTGATGCAGATGTGAAGGCGCGGAACGGTAAAGCAAGAGCAGCATATTTACAACTGAAGAACATTTGGAACTCAAAACAACTGTCAACCAACACCAAGGTCAGGATTTTCAATACAAATGTCAAGACAGTTCTACTGTATGGGGACGGAAACCTGGAGAACTACGAAAGCCATCATCCAGAAAATACAGGTGTTTGTTAACAGTTGTCTACGCAAAATACTTCGGATCTGTTGGCCGGACACTATTCGCAACGACCAACTGTGGGAAAGAAGAAACCAGATCCCAGCGGAAGAAGAAATCAAGAAGAAGCACTGGAAGTGGATAGGACACACATTGAGGAAAGCACTCAACTGCGTCGCAAGACAAGCCCTCACATGGAATCCTCAAGGCAAAAGGAAAAGAGGAAGAGCAAAGAACACATTAGGCCGAGAAATGGAGATAGACATGAGAAAAATGAACAAGAATTGGATGGAATTAGAAGAGAAGGCCCAGGACAGAGTGGGTTGGAGAATGCTGGTCGGCGGCCTATGCTCCATTAGGAGTAACAGGCGTAAGTAAATAAGTAAGCTCGTGAAGATTAAATGATGGGTAACTTCTGAGAGCTATTAATGGACTATTATTATAAATATATTGTTATTATATAACTATTGAGTAACTACATTATGCATATTTATATTCCTCTTATCATAAGCTTTATTTTCACGTATAGACTATTATTATACGATTTACTATTCTTAAGTTATACCCAGTTTATGAATTACAATCCTACACAATCACAGCCACTTTTTTGGCTTGATCATGTACAATTGTTATTTTATTATTTTATGGTAATAATGTCATCTGTTTGGCTTGTATATGAATCAAGTTTATTTGAAATATATAATTCATACAGTAGAAGTTGTTACTATTGTCATTCTGGATTCAACTAGCAGAGCTAGTAAGGAAAAGGATCAATAAAGACGATAGATTACTCAGATCGGTCAATATATGATTATCGTGGCATATTGTTAATATGATATAAATCGTATACTGATTCGCGAATAAATCATGTGATATTTAACGGGTAAATTTTATAACAATTTCAATCAATAATCATCCTACTTATGGCATGTTTATAACTAATAATTATAACAAATTATCACTATAATTACCATTATTATCATTAGTAATTAGTAGTATTTTTCTCCATCTCATAAAAAGTTAAACTTATCAACGTTAGTAAGGGAAAAAACAACAACAACTGAAGGTATCTACTAGAAACTATCAATAAAGTATAATGATTATATAAAATTCTTTTCAATAACAATAGGAGGTAATGAATATAATTTTTTTTAGTTTTTTTTTAATTTGATCACAGAAATGTCAAAGAAGTTGAATATTGAATAGACTGTTCATAATAATAAATTTGTAATAACTTAATAAGTGCCAAAATAACAACTAAGCTTTATCGAGTTAACATGAATTGGAATAGTATCAAGAATAAATTAGATCAAATAATTAGAATTGTTTTTAAGTTACATAATAGTAAATTAATTAGATTCAATTATTTGTGAGTAAATTGGTTGCAACTTATGTTGTAAGTACATATCAAACGTAGTTAAGTTTAAGGATAGCTATCAACTCATCGAAAAGTATAAATGAATATTGGCTGCATTTACATCCCGCTATGAAAATGGCAAGTCACTTGAGGTTTTAGTCGATTTTATTTCTTGAAGTAAATAGGTGTTGTTTGTTAAATGGATTATTTTATAATCTAGATGTAAGTACTCAAACAAGGTTTAAAAGGTGATAAGATAAATATGCTTTTCGTTCTTTGTCTTTCAGAAACGAAAGTGAACTAATTAAGTAAACTTATGACTTTATAAGGAACTTATAACGACAGGAGTATGAATTTCTATCCGATTTGTATCACGAGCCAAAACATTATATATATATATATATATATATATATATATATATATATATATATATATATATATATGCCACACAATGATAATGAGATCGTGAAGAGATAGAGAATGAAAGGTGAGTATAATAAAGAGAAGAGCAACTATGAACAGAAATTAGTGAGTGAAATAATAATAATAATAATAATAATAATAATAATAATAATAATAATAATAATAATAATAATAATAATAATAATAATGAGATAAGCAGCTTAGTTAGGAAGAGCACAATGAAAAAGAATTCTTCCAGTTAAAGGAGTTACTCTCACTTCTACGAAAGTAAAAGAAAGTTACAGCAGGATTGCCACTGTCTTCTATTCTAAGCCATATCTGATAATGTCTCAAGGCACTGTATTTCACCATCTCTAGGATATTAACAAGAGAACCGTGAAAGATCAACAGAAGCCAGCTCTATAGAGCTTCTTTTCACACCACAGCACCATGTCATAACACTGACTACTTCGTATTTTTTAGCCGGT